TCATCTCTAAAGCACTTGAATGCAGTGATCATTAAGAACTTTAGTCAAGTAACCTGATGTGGTTTGCATTTTCTCCATCACTTGCAAACCAGAGTTCAAATCCCTGCTGTAATAGTTACAGTACAGATCTCACAGCCTGGCAGACACCTGTTAGCATCTCACGATCATTGATCACCATCACCTCTCAGCACTGCCCCTCTTGTTCTTTATTCTCAAGTTTTACTCTGTTCCTAATACTGCCCTAATAAGCCATGTGTTTACCTAACCTTGACCCTCTTCACGTATTCCCTTTCTAGACCAGAATGTGCATCTCATGCATCACTTTCTCCATTCCTTTTTCCACTCCTTCCTGGGAGGTTGTTCCAAAGTTTGATTTCATTTTCTTCAGTTAGAGCTGGTCTGCTCCTTCCAAGTAGCCACACCTCCTCAGGGGAGCGACTCCTCTCTTCACCTGTGTAACCTCAGGACCTAATCCAGTCAGTGTCTGGAACCAAGCTATTATTCAACATATCATTGCTGAGAAAACTCAAATGCATTCCCCATGTGCTTTAAGCATTGAGTGAGCTAGACTGCTTCACATCACATTGTTGTAGTTGGTATGGTTGGGTTGGTTCCGCTTATGGCAGTTCTTTGCACTGCCCGTTCCTGTGCCATTCTTACAATCGTTGTTATGTCTGAGCCCCCCTATGGTATAGCCATGGTGCCAATCCATCTCTCTGAGGGGCCCCCTCATTTTAATAGTCCTTGCTAACATGTGTGCTGTAATTTACAAAAGTCCCAACTAGCAGTGGCTTGATTAACATGTTTACACAAATCAAGTGCATGATACATATTTTTTTGGATTTTCTAAAAAATATTTTATTGTTGTTGTTGAGAATATACACCACAAAACATATATCAATTCTAAATATACAATTCAGTGACATTGATAACATGCTTCAAGTTGTGCACCCAATGTCTCTCTCCTTTTCTGAATTGTCTCTCTAATTAACATAACCCCATTGCTTTCTAAGCTTCCTATATAGCTTTTCAAGGTATTGTTATCAATTTTATCCCATATACTTATTTTTTTTTTAATTTTTAAATCTTTTTATTGGGGGCTTGTACAGCTCTTATCACAATCCATCCATCCATCCATTGTGTCAAGCACAGTTGTACATTTGTTACCTCGCAGGATACATATTTTTGTCAAGGCAACAAGCAACTTAAGTTTTTTTTTTTTAATTAAAGAGAAACATGTCAGAAATTAGCATAGTATGCTTACAAACAAAATAGCCCCAAAGCAAACCTTGTGGTAGAAGGGCACAGTGTGCAAAAAGAAAAAAGTATACCATGCATGTGATTAGTGTAACAATACAGTGCATTTGGGTGATAACAATGAAGGATCTTGGCAGTCCCTTGGACTCCTGGTAATCTGTAAGTGCTCGGTTGCTAACCAAATGCCACAGGTTTGCAGCTACCAGCTGCTCTCCGGGAGAAAACGCCTGCCACTCTACTCATACTAAGAATTCGGGAAACTCTACGGGGCAGTTCTCCTCAACCACCTCAGAAGATGTAAAGGCTGGATAACGAGTAAAGAAGATTACCAGAGCATTAATGGATTTGAACGTTGGTGTCGGAGGTGCCTATTGAGAGTACCATGCACTGTCAGAAGATCAAACAAAACTGTCTCGGAAGCAGTTCAGTCAGCATGCTCTTTAGACAAATCCTTGGAAAACATCCTGCTTGGTAAAGTGGAAGGGCAGCGGAAGAGAAGATTCTTCAGGAGATGGATTGTCACAGCAGCTGCAACAATGGCTTCAACAGAAGACTTGTGGGTATGGCGCAGGACCAGGTAGTGTTGTATCACAAGCTGCAGTGCATAGGGTTTCTATGGGCCGGACCCAACTCTATGGCACCGAATCACAGTATCATTGCTATGAATTGGAGTCAACTCAAGGCACGCCACATGGGAGGCCCAGGCTTGTTTCAGCTGCGCTGTGGCATCATGGGGATCTAGGGTTTTTTTCTTCTTTTTCTTTAGTGTTATTGGCATGGTGACAACCACTTTCCTCATGCTCATTAGATGGCTGCCACTCTCAAAAGAAGAAGCACACCAGCCTGTGCAATCACGAGGTGTCGAAGGGATCAGGTACCAGGCATCATCAGAACAAAAAATCTTACCATAGTGAATGAGGGGGGTGTGCAGAGTGGAGACCCAAAGCCCATTTGCAGGCCACGGGACATCCCCTTACAGAAGGGTTTCAGGGAGGAGACGAGCCAATGAGGGTGTGATGTAGCAATGATCAATGCTACAACTTTCCTCTAGTCCCTAAATGCTTCCTCCCCACCCCCCCCACTATCATGATCCCAATTCTACCTTGCAAGTCTGGCTAGACCAGAGGATGTACACTGGTACAGAGAGGAACTGGAAATCCAGGGAATCCAGGGCCGATGAGCCCTTCAGGACCAGTGGCGATACTGGGAGGATAGAGGGAGGGTGGGTTGGAAAGGGGGAAACCGATTACAAGGATCTACATGTGACCTCCTCCCTGGGGGACAGACAACAGAAAAGTGGGTGAAGGGAGACATCAGGCAGGGAAAGATATGACAAAATCATAATTTATAAATTATCAAGAGTTCATGAGGGAGGGGGGAGGGAGGGGAAAAATGAGGAGCTGATGCCAGGGGCTTAGGTGGAGAGCAAATGTTTTGAGAATGATGAGGGCAATGAATGTACAAATGTGCTCTACACATTTGATGTATGTATGGATTGTGATAAGAGTTGTATGAGCCCCTAATAAAACGATTTTAAAAAGAAGAAGAAGAAAGGAAGGAAAGTTTAGGAAAAATTGCCCCCTCTCTTTTACCAGCAGGAGAAGACCCTCGTCCGTCAGCTGCCTTTCCCTCGCATTTCATTGTCTGGGACTGAGTCAAATACCCACTCACAGAGAAATCATGATTCATGCCTGGTGCTTTGACCCGGTGTCATGACATCTGAGTTAATACCTGTTGTGTAAGTCGCTAATGATGGCTGCCACTCATGTATTTAATTAGGTACTACTATTACCCAGGGTTCTTTCCTCCAAATCTGTGTTCTGTGTTACACTAGTACCAGGTAAAATGTAACATTTGTTATGTAATATTATTCTTTAGGAGTGTCTCTGGCATGCCAATTTTTTATTGCCTGTTTGTTCTCCTCCGCCACGCCCTCCAGGCAGAGAAGACTTCCACGTTCCTTGAACTTCCTTGTGGACGCTGCTACCTTTTCAAGGCAAGGCGCTGGAAGGAGGCCACTGTCATCTTTTCATTGTTTTTCTGCTATCAGTAGATTTTCTTCCATAGCCAAAGTGGAAGAATTTTGTTCAGTGGATTGGATGTAATACATGAAGACATTTTCATTAAAAACAAACTTACCTGTCTCTGAATGATGAGTTTACCTATTTTCTTGGGGAAAAAAAATCAAATTCAGTGGTGATTATATGGTCCTGGAAATTTAGGTTATATCCCCAATAGTCAACCTACCTAGCTCCTCCCTCCTTCCATTAACTTCTTCCATACACTTCTTCTATCTACTTCTCTGAACACTGTTTATAAACTATAAAGGCAAAAGAGAGAAAATGATATTATTAATATTATTATTAGTTCATCATGAAAGCCTCTTTCTTCTTGATTAGGTTTATGATTATTAGCTAGCACTCATTCAATATGAAAGGTCTATTAAGGGACTTTTAACACATAAAATCTTAATCTTCATATTGGTCTTATCGTTAGTCTTGCTATGTTAGACAGTAAGATCCTAAAACTCAGAACAATGGGGATTTGAACTCTGATTGCAAAATGATTTCTGCATTCACCATTGATCCATCCCTTTTCTTCCCGTCCTCACTGTGATGCCCAATACTCTCTTGATGGACCAGAGTCCGTCAAGGTGTTATCAACCTCTCATTGACTGTTTTTTGTGTTTTGGGTTTTTCCTTTCTTTCTTTCTAAACAAAGTAGCCATTCCCATTCATGGCTGAGACATTTCTGGATAAAGCATGGACTTATTGGTCCACAACTCTTTTTCACGTTGCATCACCATTCCTTATCTCCGGCAAGCACATCTAGCTCAGCTCCCCCAAACAAATAAGCAAACAAAATAAAAAGACCACAAGTACTTAGGTCAGTGGTTCTCACCCAGTGGGTGGCGACCCCTTTGGGGGTTGAAGGACCTATTGGCAGGAGTCACCTAAAACATTAGGAAAACACATATTTCCAATGATCTTAGGA